GAGCGGGCTAGGGGGCCCTCTGCTTCTCTAGAGACTGGCTCTCCCAGAAATGCCTGTGAGGCTGCGTTCCACTCCGAGACAACTGCAGCCCAGACTGACTGACAAGAGGTACAAAGGCCTGGCCCGTCTGTCTCAAGGCGGGACAGCTCTGGGTGTCTTTTATGCTCCAGAGCTCCCGTGGGATCAGGTTGCAGCTAGACTCCAACTGGGACTATATGCTGGCTCAGCTCCTGCCCCTGCCCTGCTGGTTCTCCTGAGGGCCTTCCCTCCAAGAAGTCACCCCATGAGGACTTCTGCCTCGGCCTTGGCTTCTGGAGATCCTGACCTAAGACACAGGGGTTAGGTCCAGACCACACTAGAACTCAGGCCCAGCACTGACTGAGTGTGGACTCAGGAACTCACACCAGACCCAGATGCTGCTCGCTGGCAACTCTCCCCAGCCTCCCAGCTTCCACCAAGACTCTCCTGAGCGTAACAAAACCAGCCAAACTGCTTGAGCTTCAGGCTGCTGTCTCCGGGGGTTCCAATGATGTTGCCCCTGCTGGTCTGTGAGCCTGCCTTCCTCTGCAGCCAGGCAGGCTGTCCCCGAGAGGGTACGCCCCAGGTTTACAGCCTCTCCTGTACACAGTCTCTATAGGGAAGGCACTTCTCTTTCCCAGGGTTCATGAACTGTCCCAGGCCCTGCCCTGAGGGGCCCCGCATGGATGATGGACCTCTGCCTTAGCCTGAGAAGCGAGATCGGCCCACCAGGGTCACTTGGAATGGGGAGGGCAGTTTTCCAGAGAAAAAGAAGGGGTGTCGTGCAGAGGGGAGCCAAGTCCAATTCTCACTTTAAGAAGAAGGATGACCCTCAACCACTGACAGCTGTGTGGGAGTGGACAGCTGTAAATGGGTTAGGGAGTGTGTGTGTGTTTTGGGGGATCCCTGCCTTGACTTGCTCACCACTATCTCATGCACCAAATGCAGAATCCTATGTCTGTTAAGTGATTTGTCCTGTGTGAAAGCATGTTAAACTATTCTCCATTTTTGACTCAACTAATTAGAGTCAAATAGAGACAGTTAAAAAAAACACCGGGTGCGGTAGCTCATGCCTGTAATCCCAGCACTTTGGGAGGCGGAGGTGAGAGGATCGCCTGGGCAACTTGGCGAGACCTTGTCTCTACAATAAATAAAAAAATTAGCCGGGCATGGTGGTGCACACCTGTAGTTCCAGCTACTTGGAAGACTGAGGCAGAAGGATCACCTGAGCCCAGTGGGTCGAGGCTGTGGTAGCCGTGAACGTGCCCCTACACTCCGGCCTGGGTGACAGAGTGAGACTCCTATTCAAAAAAAAAGAAAATGGCTTCAAATAAAAATAGAATAATTCTGGTTAAAAAAATATATAGGCAGGCTGAGCTCGGTGGCTCGGCCTATAATCTCAGCACTTTGGGAGGCCAAGGCGAGTGGATTGCCTGAGCCTGCAGTTTCAAGACCAACCCAGGCAACTTGGTGAGACCTCATCTCTACAATAAATAAAAAATTAGCCAGGCGTGGTAGTGCGCACCTGTAGTTCTGGCTACTTGGAAGGCTGATGTGGAAGAATCGCCAGAGCTCAGCAGGTTGATGCTGAGGTGGCCATGAGTGTGCCACTGCACTCTAGGCTGGGCGATAGAGTGAGATTCTGACTCAAAAAGTATATAAGATTGGGAGGATAAAGAAAAACAGAACCTATTTGAAAATGATGAAATTGTTTTGTAGCTGCTGGTGGTTCCAAAGATATGTCCAGTGTCCCAAACCTGTAAATGGTACTTCATGCATATGCAAAAGAGTAATACCTTACATGGCACAGGGTGTGATTAAGTTATGGGTCTTGAGAGGATGCGTTTGGCCTTGATTATCCAAGCTGGCCTTAAACACAATCACCAGTATCCTTCTAAGAGCGATGCAGATGTGGGTCCGAAGAGACTAAACATAGGCACGCTGAGAAAGAGGCCGTGTGAAGACAAGCAGAGATTGGAGTGACACAGCCGTAAGCCTGAGTTTGTGAGGAAGCACCAGAAGCTCAAGGAGGCCGGGCATAGGTTCTCCACTCGAGTCCCTGGAGGGAGGACACCTAGACTTCAAATTTCTCACCTCCAGAGTCATGAGAATCCATCTCTGTTGCTCTAAGCTGCTGAAGCTGTGGTGATGTTCCAGCAGCACCGGGATGGAGTTATCAGAGGCTTGTTAGAGTTTGGTTTCTGTAACTTCTACCTGAAAAGGTCCCGATTTATACACGGTGTTGTCTGGCCAGATGTCTCAACGCTGAGTCCAGCTATGGCTCCCACGACCAGGAGTGGGTCATGCTATGTTCCTCCACATCTGAGGGTCAACCTCAGTGACCTGACAGGGAGCCATCTCTCTCGTGCACGGGCTTTGGGAGACTGTAGTCCTGGCCCCGGACTGCACCCTATGACTGGGTCTCTGTTACTTGTTACCAGACGGCAGGTGGTAGAGGGTGGGGGTGATGCAGAAAGGCAGGTGCTGGACGCTTCCCTGGATTGATTGGTGGAAACTTTATGGCTCATGAACTCATCCTGGCTTGGAGCCCAGGATCTAGGTGCAGAGTTGAAGTGGAAACTACTCAGTGCCCACTGTGGGGGTCAGGCTGGGCCAAGCTCACAGAACCAGCTCACTTTTGCAGTAAGTGTAGACATTGGCTGGAGAAATTTCTAGAGGGCCAGGAGGACAGAGGCTACGCAGGGCTTTAGGAACAGCCCTTCAGCTGGACAGCAATGGCCAGTGAGCCTGGCATGCCTATGGTGGAGGTAGGAACACATGGCCCGTCCTTGCTGGGCTGCAGGCCCGGGAAGGCCAGGGTTGAGGGATGTCTTGGGAAGCTGTTCTGCCGGACACATGTCACCCCACACCCAAAGGAGCCTTCAGGTCATGGCAAAAGATACAGAGAAAAAAAATTAAGGTTACACGCACAAGAAAATAAAACACAGTAACCGAGTTCACAAAACAAATGAGTTCCAACAAAGGAGGGAGAAAGGCATACAAGGCAAATGGACCGTGGCAACAGAGCGGAGCCCTGACTCTGCCCAGCATGCTTCAGACGGTCATGAGATCATCTGATCCCAATGTGCTGGGGACACAGGGTGGAAGGGAATTGTTGCCAGACATGTTGCGCAGCTAGTAACTGTAGGCCTGCAGGGCGTATGTCTGCTCAGACATGACCCATATGGGTGTGTGAGACTGAGAACTCAGATGCCAGGAATGACATTACTGCTGGTGACAGAATTTTCCAAAATGATGACCACTTCATGGTAAGTTTTTAGGAAAACAAAGTTTTGTCTTCCCTTGATTTACACACTAGTTGCATTTCTGGAAAACTGGCTGTATATTAAACCAGCTGACAAATACTTTGTGTTTATAGCAGGTCAGGTTCTACCGTAAAGTAACATGAAACAGTTTTCATCTACACAAATATTCAGCAAGTCCTTTTTTTTTTTTTTTTTGAGTAAGGTCTCTCTCTGTCAGGCTAGAGTGCATTGGCATGATAATGGCTCACTGCAGCCTCAACCTCCTGGGCTCAGGTGATTCTTCCACCTCAGCCTCCTGAATAGCTGGGACTACAGGCACATGCCACAACACTCGGCTTATTTTTCTGATTTTTTTGTAGAGATAAGGTCTCACTATGATGCCTAGGTTGGTCAAACTCCTGGGCTCAAGCAATTTTCCCATCTCAGCCGCCCAAAGTGCTGGGATTAAAGGCGTGTGCCACTGCACCTGAACAAGACTTTTTTTTTTTTTTTGAGTTGGGGGTCTTACTCTGTTGCCCAGACTGGGGTGCAGGGTCACGATCGTGACTCACTGCAGCCTTGACCTTCTGGGTCCAGGCAATCCTTCTGCCTCAGCCTCCTGAGTAGCTGGGACTACAGGTGTACACCACTGTGCCCAGCTAATTTTTAAATTTTTAAGTAAAGACTTGAGGTCTCACTGTATTGCCAAGGCTGGTCTCCAACTGCTGGGCTCAAGAAATCCTCCCGCCTCAGCCTCCCAAAATGCTGGGACTACGGGCATGAGCCACAACACTTGGCCCCAGCAAGACAGTTGAAGATCAGGTGGGACATGGGTCAATTCCTTGTTGGGTGGGACAGTCTTGTCTACCTTCAAGCCCATGCACAGCATCACCTACCCCCATCAATGCTGTGATCACAATCGTCCAAAAATGTCCTCTAGGGGACAGTACTGTGCCGCTTAAGAACTACCACAGACGGCCTTGCTGCATCCAGACCCATCACACATGATGTCACTTAAGGGCCTCTGCACCTGCTGCTTTCTGTTCAGAATGCTCTTCTCCCAGGCGTCCAAATTCCCGCTCCTTCTCCGTTTGTCTTTCTGCTCAGCCATCACCTTGTCAGAAGGGCTTTCCCCAGTCACGCTAATGTTAAGCAGCACTTGATACCCCAGCCCTACGTTCACCTTTCTTCTTAAAACTTATCATCTGACATTTTACCTTTACTAGATTGTAAAGTCCTCAAGGACAGGGATTTTGTTGACTGAGAAATGTCTGGTCCCAACATAATGCCTAGACCTGTTGAGCACAGTAAAAACGTATTGAATGACTAGATGACTAAAGCTAGAGGAATAATTAACTCAGCCAGTGTAAGAAAAGGGATCTAATTTTACTACCTTTGATCTATAATGCTCTGTTCCACAGAGTCATTCAGGGACCCATGATCCTCCAGTCCTTGCCACCTTCAGCAGGAGCCTACGAGGTTGATGGCGAGAGTAGAGGAAATGCTCTCTTAATGGCCTCGACACTGAAATGACACATCATTAGCAAGGGCTGGTCATATGGCTCCATCCAGATGCCCTGGGCCCCGAATGCAGTTGAAGCTATGGACTCAGGAAGAGGAGATTGTGTGGCAAGCATCCAGCCAGTCTCTGGCCCGGTTTGCTATTCTGGTCACCAAAACCCATTTGTAATTCCCTCATGTAGGTCACAGGAACCATCTCCTAGGGGACAATACAGGGTTGCGTCCAGACCTCCACATGGTGTGGTCTTTCTCAGGTGGCTCTTTGCAGTCCTGCAAGTCTGAATGAGCAAGACAATTTATCTGCTCCACCCCAAGACAAGCAGTGGTGAGATGGGGGGCGGGTACACCCTCACAAGTCCTCCCATGCAGGAAGGAGGGGGTGGCAGGCATAGCAATCACTGCTCTTCAGCACTTGAAATCCTGTTGGGCCCTGCCCTGAGCTGGGAAGCAGGGAGGTCTTTGCTTAGGCCCAGGTCTGCTCTCTGGGCCAAATCTGAAGCTGTAATCCCTCCCAGGACACAGCTTTCAAAACCATCCTCATACCTAAGGGTGGTTCTAAACCTTCCTCAATAGTCATGGGTTTGTTTTTGTTTTAAGGTCACGCTGATGGTTTCTAAAACTTAGTAGGCCTTGTATTTGTTTTCCAGGCAGGTCCAGGCAGTGACTGCGCTTATGGTTCTTTCCTGAACACAGTTCTCAAGTTGGCTTTCCTTCCTAACTTCCTCATCCACATGGTCTTCAGGTTACCAGGCTCAAGTGGGAAGTCCACACCGCCACCTGGGATCCACCCTGAGTCTATCACTGTCTAAATTGCTCACCTGCACCTCTTCCTGCTTGGAGACTAGAGGTACTTGGCTTTTCCAACATCGCAAGGCCCTGGGGCTCAAGTTTTTCTACCTCTTTTCCTTTCTGCTTGTAAACTGACTAATTCTTTCTTGAACTCAACTCTTTCTTGTGATGCCTTGCCAAAAGCAGCCAGTAACAGTCAACACACACCATTCTGGTTTGCATCCACCTTCTTCCCCTCAAGCTGGAAAGTCAATAGATATGAAGCTTGCCTTCCAAGTCACAGAGTGTATCAGCCTTACCGGATGTTTTGCTGCTACCTGGCAGGAATCTCCAGCTGACCTGCTTGCCGCATGTTTCCCCACTGCCCACCAACTGGCCACCAACAAAGCCAATGCCACGTAGTTCTGGTGTTTGCTATAGATGCATTGCACATCAAAGTGCCACTCTGTGTACTCGTGAGAATAAGGAAGCTAACTGGTATAGAAAACCCCCAAATCTCAGGGGATCAGTAAATATTTGCTTTTCAGTGATGCTCTTGCTGGCCAGGTGGCTGGCCTCTTAGTGGTGACTCAGGGATTCACGTTCCCTCCAATGTTTTTAACAGGTGGTCTCTAGGAGAACCCCCTGGGAGTGTTTCTACGGCAAGTTTGGAACTGGTGCACACCACTTCTTCCAAGGTTTCACTGGCCACAACCCAGTTTGGTCCCAACCTAACTGCAAGGAGGCTGGAGAAAGAACGTGGTTACCTGTGGGTCCAACAGCAAAGTCCAACTGATTTGGTCAACACACAGCATTGTCTCTGCCACGGGGCCGACACATCACAGATTTTTATTCTCTGAAGCCGTTGGTGGCTGCCACAGCCCTACCTGGAAGAGCTTCGAGGTCCTTGCCAACTTGGTTGTGGCCACCAGTCCAGCCACTTCCCTCCCCAACCCAGACCAGAGCTCAGGTGGGCAGGCCTCCTCCAGGCTCCCACCCTCACCTCCGGCCCTGGCCCTGAACCTGGGTGCCCAGCCACCCTCCCCTAGAGGAATGGCCGCCCTTCTTTGTGTTTCCTCCTTCTTTCAATGACCTCATCCTGCTGCAAGGAGCTTCCAGCACTGGGAGCCTGCACTCTGCACCAGGATGCTGAAATGCATTACTCTAAACCCATTCTGAGGGCAGGGGCCAAATAAAGTGGGGGCAGGGCACACAGGAGGCCCTGGAAGAGGATCTATAATGAAAATGACTTCATTAAAAATCCCAGGCCAAGCACAATGCTAGACCTGTCAGCACACCTGAGATTCGGCAGTTTGGAAAGCCTGGAGGGACATTCAGGAACCCATGAGGAGAGAAGCAGAAGGCTAAAGGGGCAGCAGTGTGGTTAGTGGAGTGAGCCAGTGAGCCCGTGCTGGCTTCTGGGCAGGTAAGTGCCTCCCTCCAGATTGCTTAGACCCAGTCCCTGCCCCCACGTGCCCTGTTCCCATACGAGGCAGAGCTGCCCTGTGGGCACACAAAGGCTACCGTGGGAATGTTGGGAAATCCACCCAACTGCCTGGAGGTGCCTGCCCAGGTGTCCGGTCACTTCTAGGGGCCAGTGTGGTGGCTCACCCATGTAATCCCAGTGCTTTGGGAGGCCGAGGCAGGAGGATGGCTACAGGCCAGGAGTTGGAGACACCATCACCTCTGTGACTACCACGTGCATCCCTGGAGGCCATCTGAAAACTTTTTCTTTTCTTTTCTTAAGGTTCTAATGACCAAATGTAAATATAAACAAAACAAAAATGAAATGCGCAGAAAAACCACATTTTTACCAGATCTACTTTTATTTCAGAAGGAAGTTTGTATTATAGTATTTACTTTTGCTTATATACAAGTTCTTCACATTTGTGTTTAAAATGCACAGACCTCCCTTAGTTCTCTTGTTCCTGCTTAAATTAGCTGTTATTTTACAATACAAAAAAATACCAAAAAATTGCAGTCCTAAATGTATGTATAACACCCACAATCCCCAGCAATGAAATAGTTTACAATACTTACTCCATATTTACATGAGTGCAATAGATGCTAAATTATACATATTAACAAACTAAGCTTGAATCCAAACAACAAAAACCGTAAATAACTATAAAACAAAAACAATTCCAGAGCCAGAATTAGTTCAACGAAACAGGCTTCACTAGTGTTTAGAATGTTTTGTGCACAAATTCAGTTACTGAAAGCCGATTCCATTATTGCCTTTAGAGGAGAAGGCGCGTTTCCCTCTCTACTCCAAAACCTCTCCCTGTGGGCAGGGTACTTGTTAGTCTGAACGACTCTCATCGAGGGGCAATGCTTCTTGGTGGGCTGGCTATCCAGAAACCATCATAGTGAGCTTTAGGCTGGAGCTGAGTTTGGCCAATGAGGTAAACACCTCTCTGCCTTCTTGGTTTCATCCTCAGGATGGCCAATTCTCACAGAAACCACCACAAGGAAAGCTCTCCTGGGATGAGAGGGGTGTGAGGAGTTAAGAGTTTTTACTAGGTCACTACCCTAGTGTTAGCTTAGGTAAGTGTTGAATCAATGAATGAATGAACGAAATGAAAGGATCCAAGGTATTCATGAAAATGACACCATCACCCAAGGAAGTGACTCAGCCCCCACTCTCAGTGCACTCCATTATGGTGAAGGAGCAAGATTTGCACTGGAAGGTAACGTGTCTTTTCCCTACCAACGATGCCCTGGTCTTCTTAATTTGCCCCAGATTGCCCAGTGCGTCTCCAGTCTTGCACCTCAGGCCTCACTCGTGGATATTCCAGTATTTTCCTGTTGCTGACAGTCTTCTGTCCAGGGCTGCCATTCCTCCGGGGCAGCTCAGGGGAGTATGGGCACCTTCTCTCCACACCTCCTTCCACCTTTGCAGGTGATCCTCAGACTCGCCCCACCTGTGTGTACAGAGGTGGCAGGAGGTAGACAGGAGTGCAGGGTGTGTGAAATCCTCCACGGGAAGATGGGAGCTTATCAGTCCACTAGCTCCCTGCTTCCACTCCCAGTTTGCAGTATAATAAACTATGATTCTGGGAAATGGTCATTTAAAATTTGGATAAAACCACAAAAAAAATATGCAGCCTAGAGAACCCCTTTATGGAAAGTCTGATTTCCACAGGTTATACAGTCTTTGAACCTGAAGACTAAGAAACATTTTTCAGGACAACACTGGCTGTCCCTCGCCACCCACAGTCCCAAGAGGCTGCCAGAAAGACTCGCGACATGCCCTCTTGCTGCCTGAGCCTCCTTGAGTGCTGCTGTCTACACAGACTACCTGACTCTCACGTGCATTCCAGTAGAGTCCTGTTTTAAGAATCATCTAACTGGTCCAGCCGCATCTGAACCCATCACGACAGGGATACATTTCTTGGCTTGTTATTTATGTATCAGGGCCTGACAAGAGGACTTCTCAGAACTTGAATATCCAGTATATGGCACAAAAACATCTTAGGTGAAACTCAGACATCCTTAACATTTAATTAAAAATACAGTAAGGTATTTCTCTGTTTTATGTACGCTCCAAATGTCTGAACATTCTGGACACTACTGTATAGTTATGTACAAGTACAGGAACAATGTTTTCTTGATTACTTTAATTTATATACAGGCTCTCCGTGACACGCAAAGTTACCAGACGACAACCCATTCCCTCTTGGCAACTGGTGCTGTGATGAGTTCCTCTCCCTGCCATTCCCTTTTTCTGCCCTGAGCCTGGAGGAAGCTGTGTGCTGTGGGCTGCGGACTGCAAAGAAGCAGGTGGGTTCTGCTGTTTCTCCACTGGTGGAGCAAAATTAAACTTCACTTGCCCCTTTCCTTTTAAAAAATAAACATGATCTTTCAGGAAAAAAAAATTAGCCAGATGGCTGCGGGTCATGTTATTTCAAGGCCTAGCACTAACATGGGGAAGAGACTTCTTTGGCCAAGGAAAAGCAGGTCCTCTGAACACAGCAGGAGGATCTTCCTTGGAGGACAATCCCCAACTGCCTCACTGCTGCTTTGCCAGGGGCCTGTGGTGATTACAGGGGAAGGGCCAGGCCGCTGCACGCTCTCTGCGGGTGCTGTGTTCTGGAGTAGGGATGTGGGGAGCTCATGGGAGGAGGGTCTTTTCTAGAACCGTCTGCTCTTTAACAATAATGTGGGAAAAAAGCTTTTTGAGAGGTGAGTCTCAAAGCGGAGGTGTTTTGTGCATTAGTGTTTTATGATTCAGCTTGCCAGAAAACATCTTCCAGGTGATTCTTCACGGGGAGGGTGTCAGTGTTGTGGGAGAGGTCATGCCCCTTCTCCAGACACAGCATTTAGACGGGAAATGCCACCACTGTTGCTCATTTGAGTATTACATCTCTCCAAGTTCACAAACTTGAGCATTGCTGTCCAGAGGTCCATCCCAACAGGCTTATGCCAGAGAATCCCAGGTTTGGGAGCAGAAGAGTCGGGGAGGCTGCTGCATAATGCCAGAATACAGAGCACCATAAATGCGGAGAACGTGCCATCCAGGCAGTGCCCTGTGGGAGAAGAGTGGGGGACTGCCCCGCCCTCTTCAATCTGTCACGTTCCACTTGGCAGAGGGTTCTCCCTCCTCATCCATCTTCTTCATGTGCTTTTCAACCTTAGCTGCCTTCCTCACAGCTACCACCTTGCTCTGGGAAGGAGGATGGGTGGGCTGAACCCTTCCTGGGAAAGAGGGCAGATGGCTCCAGGTCCTGTTCCAGGCTTTGGGCAAGGTATCCTGAAAACAGGAGGCTGTCCCTCTCCTGGCATCCAGTTCTACCCCAGCCTGAGAATGATCTACAAGTTCACAGCAGGATCCAGGAACACACAGTCGCTCTTTGATCCAGGGTTCCCAAGTGCTCTTAGCGCTCTTTTCTGCTCAAGGAGACATGTGACATAAGTGAGTCCTTTTCTCTGTGGTGCCCTAGGAGGAAGAGGCCAGAGGGCTGACCAAACATCAGGCCTAGGGTGACAAGGGGGTGGGAGTGGAGACACCTTTTTGACAATAAAAACAGGACCTTTCATAGTTAGTTCATTTTTGCTTCCTTCTCAGTCCCTGCTGCTAGGTCAAATGTTCCTTCGGATGAGAAAATTCTTTCCTGGCTGCAAATTAGATTTTAGAAAAAGAGGAGGTTGCCAATGGTAGCTATTTAAATTTTACAAGAATGTAGGAATGCAATTATGTAAAAACTTAGGCTTACTAACTTTCCAATTGCTAGATCTATTTAAAGTCTAGGCACTTAGTGTGTGTGTGTATGTGTGTGTGTGTGCATGTGCACAAGAGAGAGATGCAGAGGGAGAGGGAGGAGGGAGGGGGAAGAGGAGGAAGATGGAGGAGATAGGGAGAGGGACAGAGAAAGGAAGAAAGAGAATTTCAAATGAATTAACACTCAATCAAGTTGCTATAGAAAACTACCTATTATATCATCAGTTTACATTAGAAGTGATACTGCTGACCTTGACAATTAAAATAGCCCCCTTCTATCCTAGCTTGTTATAATTCAAAAGAGATGGACCGTTATTAATTCTCAACTAGAAAAAGCTACTCCCTGGAAGAGAGATATCTTCTTAAATCGTGCAAGAATAAATATCACATCTTTTAAAAAAGATAGCAGGCTTCAGATGAAGACAAGTTAATTCATCTGACTAGTTTTTAAAAGACCATGTTCAAGAACAACTGATGACAAACGTCTACGTGTAAACACTCCATCTTCTGTTTTTTGCACAGTTGAGACAGTTTCAAGAACAGTTTCCACAAGTGAACCTGAGTGTCATTCCTAGTTCGCTCACTGGCTCCACACCGGCCTCCTCCAGCAATATTCAGCTCATCCTTGGACCTATAATTAAATCAAGTATTTCCTATGCAAAAGTAAAAGGTTAGATGCTGGAACACGGATGGGAGAAACCATCAAAGAAAGCTTGTGATCATGCAGGTGAGTCAGATGCTTCGAGGTTTCCAGTTTCTGCCCCGAACCCGAACAGCTGTTTCCCTGCCGCGCCTTCCCCTGCAGACGGCTCTGGCGTGCCACTCGCTCGCTCTTGCGCGGGAGAGTCCCTGGCCCCAGCATCAAATGCAGGTCCCAGGCTGTGCAGGGGGCTGCTGCTTCCGGTTTCTCACGGCTCCCGACTTCTCTTTGTATACTATTGGCATCTGCTGAGAAATGTCCACCAGGGCGCTGGCCACGGCAAGACCTTGGGAGAACCCACAGAGGGAAAACATGTTAAGGAGCAGCTTGATTTTGTTTTAAAAATAATTTTAAAATTTATTTTTCATTCCCATGGTGCCAAAAGAAAAAAAGAAAGTACACAGGGAAAAGTCTTCCTTCCATCTCGTCCCTTTCCCTACCCTTCCCTCTCCATCCAGGTAAACTCTTTCATTTGTTTTTATATGAAAGGGGACCCCAAAAAACAGGAATTATCTTTTGGAAGGTGGACCCCTTGTAGTACAGCTTCCCCTACTAGGAACCAATCGGCATCAGTGTACCAGCTAGCACTACTGTGAAAGGCTGTGTTCAGTTTCAGTGAATTTTTTTTTGTTGAGAGACTTTCAGTGTGATTGCCCATTTCATGATGGGTGATTTACAAGTGGACCTGCCCACACCCGGCTAAGTGTCCAGCAGCTTTTGGCCAAAAATGGCATGACCCCCATGCCTCACCCTCCCTATTCACCCAGTCTTGCTCCAAGTGACTTTTTTTTGTTTCCCCAGATGAAAAAAGTCCTCAAGGAAACGATTTGCCGATGTGGAAAAGGTGAAATGAAAAATGGGAGAAGCACTAAAAGGTATCAAAATTGATGAGTTCAAAAACTGTTTTGAGCAGTGGAAAAAGCATCTCAATAGGTGTATTATATCAAACAGAGAGAACTCTGAAGGTGACTGAAGTTTAAACATGTAAGAATAAACACACAATTTTTTCTTTTCTTTTGAGTTGAGAGTCTGCTGCCCAGGCTGCAGTGCAGTGGCACACTCATGGCCACCTCAGCATCGACCTGCTGGGCTCTGGCGATCCTTCCACCTCAGCCTTCCAAGGAGCTGGAACTACAGGCATGCACTACCATGCCTGGCTAATTTGTGATTTATTGTAGAGACAAGGTCTCGCCATGTTGCCCAGGTTGGTCTTGAACCCACGGGCTCAGGCAATCCTCTCGCCTCAGCTTCTCAAAGTGCTGGAATTACAGGCTTGAACCACTGCGCCTGGCCTAAATACACGATTATTTATAAACACATTCTTTTTTGGGGGATCCCCCCCTTGTATATTCTTTCAGGGTTTACTTACACAAATACAAATACATATTCTTCTCCCTTGTCATCTTTTTTTTTAGATTAGAAAACATTGTTCACAACCCTAGACAGATCATCAGGACAAAAAATCAGCAACGAGATCCGAAACCTCAATGTGACTCTTGATCAAATGGATTTAATTGATACCTACAGAACCCTCCATCCAA